CTTGTTTCTGTTTTCGATGAGACCTTTGAGAAGAGTTAAGTTTGCCTACTTTGTGTTCAGAATTCGTATACAAATTGTGGGTTTTGAACGGCTATGTCATAATTATCAGAAAGTCTTCTCATTTTCTGGATTTGTATATCGAATCATGGATCTTAGTGTTCCTCAAGACCAAGTTACTGATGCTCACTAAGGTTGTTCCCAGGTGAGAGGTCTTGTGTTGAAGTCGAACCTGTTTGATTCGAGTTTCTAATGGGTATTTTAACAAGTTCTAGTTTCCAGAGAACGATGATGAATCCAGATTAGTGTTTTGTTGGAGGCTGAGAGAATCCAAACCAATCCAAAGTGCACTGTCTTGTTTTGTTTTTGTAGGACTTGTCAATTCAAAGACTCAAATTAAGTTCTTAGGATTGAAGTGTATTGCTTTGTGCTACTTCAGGGGATAGTGAATAAACTCGATCTTTACGGGAAGTTAAATGGGCATGAGGGATGTGTGAATGCCTTGGAGTTCAATTCAACTGGCGATATTCTTGTTTCGGGTTCTGATGATCGACAAATAATGCTCTGGAACTGGATGAATAGAAGCAGGACATTGTCATATCCCTCCGGCCACTGTGAAAATGTGTTCCAGACTAAGTTCATACCGTTCACAGATGACCGAACAATCATAACATCTGGTGCTGATGGACAAGTATGGGTGCTAATCTTTATAATTTACGCGATGATCATTTGAGATGTTTAGTTTTCTTCTCAAAGAAGAGTTTGGGGGCATAAAAGCTTTAAGACACTCCAGCATATTGCTTCCTGTACCTAGTTGAATCATTTGAGTCCATTCCATTTCGCAGGTACGACTTGGTCAGATCCTAGAAAATGGTAAAGTGGAGACACAAAGGCTAGGGAGGCACCACGGTCGCGTATACAAGCTTGCTATTTTGCCCAGCGATCCTAATGTATTCTACAGCTGTGGCGAAGATGGTTTTGTTCAACATGTTGGTCTCTATATCTCTCATGCTCCATGCTGTTTCTCATCTTTGGCTTTTGAATGTCTTTTCCTTTTTCAAACTCAAATATCTGAACTTGTCTTTGATTTTTTTTCGGGCAGTTTGATATACGAAGCAACAGTGCCACTATGGTTTTGTATGCCTCTCCCTTCACACAAGGCTGCAGGAGACATCACAATAGCAGTAGAATCAGACTGAACTCTATTGCAATAGATCCAAGGAATCCACATTTTCTTGCGGTTGGGGGTTCCGATGAATACGCACGAGTCTACGACACTAGAAGAGGACAATTAGCTCCAGTATGTCGCCACATCTTACCAGTCGCGCCTGTGAACTCTTTTTGTCCCCGCCATCTCCGAGAAACCAACAGTGTTCACATCACGGGATTGGCATATTCCAAAGCCAGCGAACTACTGGTCTCTTACAACGACGAGCTCATTTATCTATTTGAGAAGAACATGGGTTTTGGTTCGTCACCTGTTGCTATCTCTCCTGAGAAATTGCAAGAAATGGAAGAACCACAAGTGTATACAGGTCATCGGAATGCACAAACGGTCAAAGGAGTGAACTTCTTAGGTCCAAATGATGAGTATGTGACTAGTGGTTCAGACTGCGGTCACATCTTTATTTGGAAGAAGAAAGGGGGTAAGCTCGTGCGGGCGATGGTGGGTGATAGGCGAGTGGTGAATCAACTCGAGTCTCACCCACACATACCATTTCTTGCGTCCTGCGGGATTGAAAAGAGCGTTAAGCTCTGGATGCCAATGTCAAACGATGTTCATTCTCTGCCTGAAAACATCGAAAAGGTAAACTAGTACTACAACCACATCTCTCAACCAATGTTTAATGTTGAGACACGTCCCAATCACTGAAGCCGTGTTTTGCGGGAAATGCAGGTGATGGAATCGAACCAGGTGGGGAGAGAAGACCATTCGAGGGTGGCACTGACACCTGATGTAATCATGCATGTTCTCCGGCTACAGAGACGTCAGACATCGGCTTTTACAGAGAGAAGATATGTTTCAGCTGACATTGACAGTGATGAAGGAAGCGAAGCTCAGTTTATTTCAGGGTTAGTCTCGAGCGACGATGAGTCTTCAGAAAGAGAATGTATTGTTAGCTGAGTACTCAACTGGTGCGATAGATGATTACAGGTCCTTCACATGTTTCAAATACTTGTGGATTTCGCTTGCGTGTTGTAACTTTTAATAAGGCAAATAAGAACGAGGATTTAGTAATCTTTCAACAGACTTGCAAAGACGGAAATACAAGTGTAAAAAATAAAACGACCAAATAAGTTACTGTCTAATACTGCGAATTCATTCAATTTGGGTAGAGCAACAAATACAAGATGAAGAGGTCGGTTAAACACTCTTCTTTATGATGACACTGTTCTTACAAGAAATATACAACGGAAATACATTCCCCATAGCAAAAAATGCTGTGGCGAGTTTGCCAGTAGCTTAGCCATTTGCATTTCGCATATGTAGAGACCTGATCATTCTGAATCAACCGTAGGCCCTGAAGCATCAAATGTTTGCGATACACACAACCAACATGGTACAGTAATCTCCTGCAAATGAGAGAAACAACTATGGTAAGCGGTAAGCACATTACAATATCGGCAGATCATCATCGTCTATATTAATGAGGTAGCGAGGAACAAGATGTATATACCACTGAGTTAGGACTGCTTTGGGGGAGGCAATATTGCATTGATGCTTAGGTCTGGTTTTATATGGGCAAAAGGCAGAGCAGTTTCGACTATGGTTCTTCCAACACTGGAATCAGCCAAAACACAATCCCTTCTTTTGAAACCGTCTTAATAGAAAATCCAACCAAGCAGAATTCTGAGCATCACATCCCATATGTTCTGTTGTATGGATCTCCAGGACCAGGCCTCCGCAATTTAGGTTCTTCAAAACGGCTGTAGACATTGTCATTAAATCCCATCCGTTCATTCCTTAGAAGCTGGGTGATCCCAAGAGTGTTACCACTTTGGGTTTCATTCCACTTATCCCAGTGTCCATTTGACAACAATGGACTTGGTGAAGCTTGTATAGGCAGCTGTGTAAAAGGAGATAAGCTATTCCCCTGTGTTTGATCCATTTGCCTTGAACTAATCCCATACAGATCGGAGAGTGAAGGAGAGAAGTTGTTAACGTTCCGGGGATCATGAAACCCATTGACTTGTTGTGCAGCCAGAGACCTCTGTGCCAATAATTGAAGTCTTGCCTCGTTCTCGTAGGAATTCAACTGAGAAGATAAACCTGGTCTCATATCGAAGTCTTCAGTTTCCATCCCATTGTGAATTCTTCCTCTTCCAACAGCCAAAATAGCAGGATCAATTAACTCAATGTCTCCTGCAGCATTCAGATTCCTACTTGAAGGTGGTACATGATATGTGTTCCTCAACAAGGAGGTAGAATCAAGCAAACGATTTCCTGCAAAGTGTGTAGAGTTTCAGCCTATGCAAAGTTGTAGCCAGCCATTTTTAAGAATGCAATATAATATACCTGATGCAATATCCGAAGACAGGTTAGCTCTTTCATGTGAAGAGAAACCAGGGGGAGGTAACTTGCTGGGAGCAGAAAATCCAGGAGGAGCAGAAACTTGGGATCTCACCACTGCAAATGGAAAATTGTCAAAAGTTTTGAAAAGCACAAGAAAAAACTGTCTTGATGAATTATGAATCACTTAACCCAATTTTTTATTGCAAAACCAACTATTATAAAGCCATAATATAATACTAACCAGGACTCTTGTAAGAAGAAAATCCAGGACTAGTAGCAAATTGTTCATATCCACCAGAGTAATTTGAAGCAAAACCATTTTGACTACCAAACTTATCATGATACATGTCCCGGCTCACTCCAAACTCCTGAATAGGCTGTTCTCTTGACAACTGGCTATATATGCTGTACGACTTATTGTCATACGCTTGATTATTTGATTCTTCATGCCAAGCAAAAGAAAATCTGGACTGATCATTGTGTTGCTTAAGGAGGTTAGAATGTTCCAGAGTACTGGAACTATGATCACTCTGGCCAAGTAATTTCGCAAAATTGTGTGACGAAGTCAAGGATTCATCCCAAGGATCAAAGTCCAAAATGTTTGAAATTATATCATCCTCTGATTTCTTCATGTTATTCCTGCCTTCATTAGCAAATAGAGAATTCTCCATATTGGATATAGAGTTCTCAGAAAATCCATTTGGAAAATGCAATCTATCGCTACCTATTTCAGAGGACCCAGTAGTTGAATCAGGCCCCCGAGAAGTTTCCCTAGTCTGAAAAGAACGAGAAGCCAGATGATTTGAATCCAGGATAGAGCTTGGTGAACTAAATCTACAACTCGAGTGGCTAACACCCTCTGCAACATCACGCCTATTGCTATTTAATGATGATAAATCATCCGCGTCCAAAGTTGAGTTAACTTGCATCTGGGATTGCAAACCTGATCTCCAATCCCACTCTGGCCTTGAACCAGGAGTCCCATTCTGTGCTATGTCAGCTTCTGCATCAGCATTTATAGGAAGTTGTTTTATACATTGCTCAAGATTTGGTACATTGTTACCAGGTTGTCTAATAGAACCTTGATCACAATTAGTATCAATAGCCACTGAAACACCACGGTCTTCATCCCTATCATTTGTTGTTATACCCATCCACGCAACCTCAGCCGACAAGTTACTGACATTGGGGACATCTTCAACAATTTCGTTTGTGTGATCAAAAGAATTCTCAACAACTGAAGGCTTATCCATGACTCTGCTATCGTAGGAAGATTCTACTAGACAGGATATCTGATTACTACTAGAATCTCTATTAGGTGATGCAGTTCTCTTTGACCCTGGATCAACCACGATCTTATTCTGCAAAGGCTTGAACATAACAGGTTTGCTTTTTTCAGCCAAAGTTCCATTCTCTGAAGTTGAACTTTGATTATCCAAGGACCCATTTGAGGTAGCTGAAGTTGCTAAAGAATGCTGATTTGTTACACGTGTCCCCCTGCAACACATTTACAATATTTAAAATGAACAATACAGAGCATCAATTTTTTAAAATGAACCATTAAAGAACTTCACATATACAACGGCTTCTGACAAGACTTACCATGATGCTGCAGCAGGAAGAGCCGTTGATCTACCAGAGCTCCCACTAGGCGGATAACCCTTGGGAGCACTAGCTGCCGTCTGCACCATCAAATATGAAGTGAGAAATAAAAATTACTCTAAGACAACATTGTTGTAGTACAGAAAGTCCAGAGAAAGTTGAAATTATAAAAGAAAACACATGTACACAATTCATAACTGTAGCAGAGATAAGTTTCTACCGAATGCCACTCAAGTTTACAGTAATATCAGGATGAATTTACCGATATATGACTCAACTATGGCCACAGGAGATCAAAATGCAATATATCAAGTTTCTCTGAAACAAATGATAAAAGCCAGACATCACCTTATATCAAGGGAAAGTATAAAGTTTATAGAGCTTACAGTAGAAGAAACTTTTGCGATTGGCTTTGCAGTGGAGCTGTCGCTGCAATAAGCATCCAACGGTGGAGGTAGCATACTACCTGAACGGTATTGCATAGTGTTTGTTGCTCCAGTGATTTGCTGTACTCTGCTCATTCAACATTACTAAAAGATTTAGCTAATCGTCCAATATACCAAACTCCCACTAAAACTACATATTCTCCAAATAATATATGCCGCTAAGAATAACCAATGAGTACAAGGGGAAAACTTGAACAATATGATGATGAAGATTACCTTGTATAGGCAGATATAATCTCATCTTTTGTAAAACTATCCTCTTGAGAGCCAACCTCATGCAAATAGAGGCAGTCAGGATTGTTGCATGCCTGGAAATAGAAAAAAAAAAACATGTTTCAATAATATCGATTGACAATTCCAACTGAATAGGGGAAGGCCGAAAGAAAAATTTCAGAGATCCAGAGAGAAGAAAAAGGGTGCATATAGAACATACCGCATTTCTTAACCATGCATGACAATACTTGGTTGTCCCAAAACATGCCCTGCAGTAAACAAAGAAAAAGAAATGATCATTAACTCACTGAAGATAATTTACCATTGTAAACAACTAGTTTCAACAATTAGGACACTCAGCATGACTTACTTCAGTGCTTTACCATCCAAGATAAAGCCATGAACAGACTGAATGCATCGAACAGCCTCTTCCTCTTTAGCATAAGTAATATATCTGGAGTCATACCCGTTTATAATCAGAAAGAAGCAATAATGCAAAACAACCATTTAAGGAATCCATTCATGCTAAAAGAGAAATTTAATTAATTAACACTAGTAAAAACAAAACTCACACACTGCATGTGTTGTTAGGGAACTGTTGGATGAGACCCGTTGCTGTTCGGGACATGGAAACCTTTGAAACCTTTCCATACTGACCAAAATATTCTTTACGCTGGAGAAGCTGAAAAAAGAAAAACCTCCCATCACTAAGGTATTCTTTACTGACCAATATGATATAATTATAAGGTTTTATAGGAAAAATCCCGTACATCTTCATCTGCCACATTAAGGGGCAACCCAACAATGTAAACAAGATTTCTTCGAACCACTCGAACACTGGTTAGTTGCTTTCTCGCTTCAGAAGGTTTCAGTTTTGACTTTTGTGTCTTTTTGCGATCCATGTTGCCCTCAAAGGTCAGTCTGAGAGGATATAGATAATAAACATCAGG